CTATAGTCTAGTCTATAGTCTAGTCTATAGTCTAGTCTATAGTCTAGTCTATAGTCTAGTCTATAGTCTAGTCTATAGTCTAGTCTATAGTCTAGTATAGTCTAGTCTATAGTCTAGTCTATAGTCTAGTCTATAGTCTAGTCTATAGTCTAGTCTATAGTCTAGTCTATAGTCTAGTCTATAGTCTAGTCTATAGTCTAGTCTATAGTCTAGTCAATAGTCTAGTCTATAGTCTAGTCTATAGTCTAGTCTATAGTCTAGTCTATAGTCTAGTCTATAGTCTAGTCTATAGTCTAGTATATAGTCTAGTATATAGTCTAGTCTATAGTCTAGTCTGTAGTCTAGTATATAGTCTAGTCAATAGTCTAGTAATAGTCTAGTCTATAGTCTAGTCTATAGTCTAGTCTATAGTCTAGTCTATAGTCTAGTCTATAGTCTAGTCTATAGTCTAGTCTATAGTCTAGTCTATAGTCTAGTCTATAGTCTAGTCTATAGTCTAGTCTATAGTCTAGTCTATAGTCTAGTCTATAGTCTAGTCTATAGTCTAGTCTATAGTCTAGTCTATAGTCTAGTCTATAGTCTAGTCTATAGTCTAGTCTATAGTCTAGTCTATAGTCTAGTCTATAGTCTAGTCTATAGTCTAGTCTATAGTCTAGTCTATAGTCTAGTCTATAGTCTAGTCTATAGTCTAGTCTATAGTCTAGTCTATAGTCTAGTCTATAGTCTAGTCTATAGTCTAGTCTATAGTCTAGTCTATAATCTAGTCTATAGTCTAGTCTATAGTCTAGTCTATGGTCTAGTCTATAGTCTAGTCTATAGTCTAGTCTATAGTCTAGTCTATAGTCTAGTCTATAGTCTAGTCTATAGTCTAGTCTATAGTATAGTCTATAGTCTAGTCTATATTCTAGTCTATAGTCTAGTCTATAGTCTAGTCTATATTCTAGTCTATAGTCTAGTCTATAGTCTAGTCTATAGTCTAGTCTATAGTCTAGTCTATAGACTAGTCTATAGTCTAGTCTATATTCTAGTCTATAGTCTAGTCTATAGCCTAGTCTATAGTCTAGTCTATAGTCTAGTCTATAGTGTAATATATAGTCTAGTCTATAGTCTAGTCTATAGTCTAGTCTACAGTCTAAGAACATTGGTCTGGACTATAGAATATGATATTGTTTGGTCAATAGCTTGAACTTACTTGAGGTATAGTCTAGTCTACAGCTAGGTAAATAGTCTAGTCTATAGTCTAGTCTATAGTCTAGTCTATAGTCTAGTCTATAGTCTAGTCTAAGTCTAGTCTATAGTCTAGTCTATAGTCTAGTCTATAGTCTAGTCTATAGTCTAGTCTATAGTCTAGTCTATAGTCTAGTCTATAGTCTAGTCTATAGTCTAGTCTATAGTCTAGTCTATAGTCTAGTCTATAGTCTAGTCTATAGTCTAGTCTATAGTCTAGTCTATAGTCTAGTCTATAGTCTAGTCTATAGTCTAGTCTATAGTCTAGTCTATAGTCTAGTCTATAGTCTAGTCTATAGTCTAGTCTATAGTCTAGTCTATAGTCTAGTCTATAATCTAGTCTATAGTCTAGTCTATAGTCTAGTCTATAGTCTAGTCTATGGTCTAGTCTATAGTCTAGTCTATAGTCTAGTCTATAGTCTAGTCTATAGTCTAGTCTATAGTCTAGTCTATAGTATAGTCTATAGTCTAGTCTATATTCTAGTCTATAGTCTAGTCTATAGTCTAGTCTATATCTAGTCTATAGTCTAGTCTATAGTCTAGTCTATAGTCTAGTCTATAGTCTAGTCTATAGACTAGTCTATAGTCTAGTCTATATTCTAGTCTATAGTCTAGTCTATAGCCTAGTCTATAGTCTAGTCTATAGTCTAGTCTATAGTGTAGTATATAGTCTAGTCTATAGTCTAGTCTATAGTCTAGTCTACAGTCTAAGAACATTGGTCTGGACTATAGAATATGATATTGTTTGGTCAATAGCTTGAACTTACTTGAGGTATAGTCTAGTCTAGTCTACAGCTAGGTAAATAGTCTAGTCTATAGTCTAGTCTATAGTCTAGTCTATAGTCTAGTCTATAGTCTAGTCTATAGTCTAGTCTATAGTCTAGTCTATAGTCTAGTCTATAGTCTAGTCTATAGTCTAGTCTATAGTCTAGTCTATAGTCTAGTCTATAGTCTAGTCTATAGTCTAGTCTATAGTCTAGTCTATAGTCTAGTCTATAGTCTAGTCTATAGTCTAGTCTATAGTCTAGTCTATAGTCTAGTCTATAGTCTAGTCTATAGTCTAGTCTATAGTCTATTCTATAGTCTAGTCTATATTCTAGTCTATAGTCTAGTCTATAGTCTAGTCTATAGTCTAGTCTATAGTCTAGTCTATAGTCTAGTCTATAGTCTGGTCTATAGTCTAGTCTATAGTCTAGTCTATAGTCTAGTCTATAGTCTAGTCTATAGTCTAGTCTATAGTCTAGTCTACAGTCTAAGAACATTGGTCTGGCCTATAAAATATGATATTGTTTGGTCAATAGCTTGAACTTACTTGAGGTATAGTCTAGTCTAGTCTACAGCTAGGTAATAGTCTATCTATAGTCTATAGTCTAGTCTATAGTCTAGTCTATAGTCTAGTCTATAGTCTAGTCTATAGTCTAGTCTATAGTCTAGTCTATAGTCTAGTCTATAGTCTAGTCTATAGTCTAGTCTATAGTCTAGTCTATAGTCTAGTCTATAGTCTAGTCTATAGTCTAGTCTATAGTCTAGTCTATAGTCTAGTCTATAGTCTAGTCTATAGTCTAGTCTATAGTCTAGTCTATAGTCTAGTCTATAGTCTAGTCTATAGTCTAGTCTATAGTCTAGTCTATAGTCTAGTCTATAGTCTAGTCTATAGTCTAGTCTATAGTCTAGTCTATAGTCTAGTCTATAGTCTAGTCTATAGTCTAGTCTATAGTCTAGTCTATAGTCTAGTCTATAGTCTAGTCTATAGTCTAGTCTATAGTCTAGTCTATAGTCTAGTCTATAGTCTAGTCTATAGTCTAGTCTATAGTCTAGTCTATAGTCTAGTCTATAGTCTAGTCTATAGTCTAGTCTATAGTCTAGTCTATAGTCTAGTCTATAGTCTAGTCTATAGTCTAGTCTATAGTCTAGTCTACAGTCTAGTCTATAGTCTAGTCTATAGTCTAGTCTATAGTCTAGTCTATAGTCTATAGTCTAGTCTATAGTCTAGTCTATAGTCTAGTCTATAGTCTAGTCTATAGTCTAGTCTATAGTCTAGTCTATAGTCTAGTCTATAGTCTAGTCTATAGTCCTAGTCTATAGTCTAACATAGTCTAGTCTTATAGTCTAGTCTCTAGTCTAGTCTATAGTCTAGTCTATAGTCTAGTCTATAGTCTAAACTATAGTCTAGTCTATAGTCTAGTCTATAGTCTAGTCTATAAGTCTAGTCTATAGTCTAGTCTATAGTCTAGTCTATAGTCTGGTCTATAGTCTAGTCTATAGTCTAGTCTATAGTCTAGTCTATAGTCTAGTCTATAGTCTAGTCTATAGTCTAGTTTATAGTCTAGTCTATAGTCTTAGTCTAGTCTATAGTCTAGTCTATAGCCTAGTCTATAGTCTAGTCTATAGTCTAGTCTATAGTCTAGTCTATAGTCTAGTCTATAGTCCTAGTCTATAGTCTAGTCTATAGTCTAGTCTATAGTCTAGTCTATAGTCTAGGTCTATAGTCTAGTCTATAGTCTAGTCTATAGTCTAGTCTATAGTCTAGTCTATAGTCTAGGTCTATAGTCTAGTCTATAGTCTAGTCTATAGTCTAGTCTATAGTCTAGTCTATAGTTCTAGTCTATAGTCTAGTCTATAGTCTAGTCTATAGTCTAGTCTATAGTCTAGTCTATAGTTCTAGTCTATAGTCTAGTCTATAGTCTAGTCTATAGTCTAGGTCTATAGTCTAGTCGATAGTCTAGTCTATAGTCTAGTCTATAGTCTAGTCTATAGTCTAGTCTATAGTCTAGTCTATAGTCTAGTCTATAGTCTAGTCTATAGTCTAGTCTATAGTCTAGTCTATAGTCTAGTCTATAGTCTAGTCTATAGTCTAGTCTATAGTCTAGTCTATAGTCTAGTCTATAGTCTAGTCTATAGTCTAGTCTATAGTCTAGTCTATAGTCTAGTCTATAGTCTAGTCTATAGTCTAGTCTATAGTCTAGTCTATAGTCTAGTCTATAGTCTAGTCTATAGTCTAGTCTATAGTCTAGTCTATAGTCTAGTCTATAGTTTAGTCTATAGTCTAGTCTATAGTCTAGTCTATAGTCTAGTCTATAGTCTAGTCTATAGTCTAGTCTATAGTCTAGTATATAGTCTAGTCTATAGTCTAGTCTATAGCCTAGTCTATAGTCTAGTCTATAGTCTAGTCTATAGTCTAGTCTATAGTCTAGTCTATAGCCTAGTCTATAGTCTAGTCTATAGTGTAGTCTATAGTCTAGTCTATAGTCTAGTCTATAGTCTAGTCTATAGTCTAGTCTATAGTCTAGTCTGTAGTCTAGTCTATAATTTATTCTATAATCTAGTCTATAGTCTAGTCTATAGTCTAGTCTATAGTCTAGTCTATAGTCTGGGCTATAGTCTAGTCTATAGTCTAGTCTATAGTCTAGTCTATAGTCTAGTCTATAGTCTAGTCTATAGTCTAGTCTATAGTCTAGTCTATAGTCTAGTCTATAGCCTAGTCTATTGTCTAGTCTACAGTCTAGTCTATAGTCTAGTCTATTGTCTTGTCTATAGTCTAGTCTATTGTCTAGCCTATTGTATAGTATTGTCTATAGTCTAGTCTATTTGCTAGTTTATCGTCAAATTTATAGTTTAATGAAGTCTACCACTTTTTCGCCCAAAACAGCTAAAGTGACAACACTGAAATAACGATACATAAAAGTTTTATCCAAAAAAAAATCATGTCAATTATTATCACATGAAATAGATTTAATATTTTTTTTCATTCCACTAATTATTTATTTAGTGATCTCGTATATAAAGAGTATTTTAATTTAAACTTAAAATAGTTTATTTGTTTAACTACATATCATAACAATGGTCATATTGTACTTACAATTTTCATCATTAATAGCAATTGTTTTCGTAAGTAGTTTTCTATTCAGTATTAAATAAATAAAAACGAAACTGAGAAAATCAGGATTTGCTTTTCCAGACGGTTTTTGCTAATAAGTATGAATTTGAATTTCTCGAAGCCAAAATTTTTAAACGATGTTCAAAATTTCCCAATAATTTTCTGGATCAAGCGCTTGACTTAAGTAATTGGGAGGTTGGAAAAACCGACGAAGGAACACTTATTATGGATGGATATATAGTTTTGAAGAGGTCCTATGATCATTTATTGCCGGTATGATTTTGTTTGGAATACATTTATTTACGGAGAATGTTTTATTGTCTTTATTTTCTGACAGTTTTCTATGGAATTGTTAAAAAGGGAGAGAGGAACATATCAGCCAACAACAATTAATATTAAAAGATTAGATAGTTGTAAGGCGACTTTTGATAAGTACGATGTTATTTTTAATTATGTAAAAGAGACGCCTAAAGATCAAACTAAATGTCCATTTAAGAAGGGTGTAAGTGTAGTAATAATATTATACAATTTTCATAACTATATTTATATAATTTTGTATAAATAGCAAATCGTAACCATGAAAGTTTCTAAACCGGTTCTTGTATATATTCCTTCGCGTAATGCTGCTGGTGAATATTTAATTCATGTAGAAATTGGCAATAGAACCGATATGTCAACATTTTTATGTTCCGAAATTCCTGTAAATGTTCACAAAGTTTGATTGATGCAATAAATATGTTTTAAATGTAAAATAAATGCGTGTTTTACTATTATTTGTAAAACGAGTCTTCTAATCGGCTTAAAGAATTCATTTGAGGCTACTAATATTGCTTGTAAACTAATATTGCTTGTAAATATTGCTTGTAAAAACATGAAATTCGAAACCACCATAGTGAAGTCCTAACACTGCACATTCTAAGAAAGTGATATTTACTACATTTCATTGAGGCTAACAGATCAAACATACATATACATTAGTCCTCAGTAAATCATTAAAAAACATGACCACACGTGTTGTACAGATTTACATTAAAAAAACCTATAGACTAGACTATAGACTTGACTATAGACTAGGACTATAGACTAGACTATAGACTAGACTATAGACTAGACTATAGACTAGACTATAGACTTGACTATAGACTAGACTATAGACTAGACTATAGACTAGACTATAGACTAGCTATAGACTAGACTATAAACTAGACTCTAGACTAGACTATATACTAGACTATAAACTAGACTATAGACTAGACTATAGACTATACTATAGACTAGACTATAGAATAGACTAGACTAGAATATAGACTAGACTATAGAATAGACTATAGACTAGACTATAGACTAGGACTATAGACTAGACTATAGACTAGACTATAGACTAGACTATAGACTAGACTATAGACTAGACTATAGACTAGACTATAGATTATAGACTGACTATAGACTAGACTATAGACCTAGACTATAGATAGACTATAGACTAGATATAGACTAGACTATAGACTAGACTATAGACTAGACTATAGACTAGACTATAGACTAGACTATAGACTAGACTATAGACTAGACTATAGACTAGACTATAGACTAGACTATAGACTAGACTATAGACTAGACTATAGACTAGACTATAGACTAGACTATAGACTAGACTATAGACTAGACTATAGACTAGACTATAGACTAGACTATAGACTAGACTATAGACTAGACTATAGACTAGACTAGACTAGACTATAGACTAGACTATAGACTAGACTATAGACTAGACTATAGACTAGACTATAGACTAGACTATAGACTAGACTATAGACTAGACTATAGACTAGACTATAGACTAGACTATAGACTAGACTATAGACTAGACTATAGACTAGACTACTATAGACTAGACTATAGACTAGACTATAGACTAGACTATAGACTAGACTATAGACTAGGACTATAGACTAGGCTGTAGATTAGACTAAACTATAGACTAGACTATAGACTAGACTATAGACTAGACTATAGACTAGACTAGAACATCACTTTTGATACTATCTCTATGTCAGTTATGAATGTGCGGTCCTGTAATAAATCTAAAGCATATTCTGAACTTTGTCATCAAAACCTGGTGGTTTTCTTCAGAAACCACTATAGTGAAGTCCTAACACTGCACATTCTAAGAAAGTGATATTTACTACATTTCATTGAGGCTAACAGATCAAACATACATATACATTAGTCCTCAGTAAATCATTAAAAAACATGACCACACGTGTTGTACAGATTTACATTAAAAAAACCTATAGACTAGACTATAGACTTGACTATAGACTAGACTATAGACTAGACTATAGACTAGACTATAGACTAGACTATAGACTAGACTATAGACTTGACTATAGACTAGACTATAGACTAGACTATAGACTAGACTATAGACTAGACTATAAACTAGACTCTAGACTAGACTATATACTAGACTATAAACTAGACTATAGACTAGACTATAGACTATACTATAGACTAGACTATAGAATAGACTATAGACTAGAATATAGACTAGAATAGACTAGACTAGACTATAGCGACTAGACTATAGACTAGACTATAGACTAGACTATAGACTAGAACTATAGACTAGACTATAGACTAGACTATAGACTAGAACTATGACGAGACTATAGACTAGACTATAGACTAGACTATGACTAGACTACTAGACTAGAAACTATAGACTAGACTATAAGACTAGACTAAATAGACTAGACTATAGACTAGACTTAGACTAGACTATAGACTAGACTATAGACTAGAACTATAGACTAGACTATAGACTAGACTATAGACTAGACTATAGACTAGACTATAGACTAGACTATAGACTAGACTATAGACTAGACTATAGACTAGACTATAGACTAGACTATAGACTAGACTATAGACTAGACTATAGACTAGACTATAGACTAGACTATAGACTAGACTATAGACTAGACTAGAGACTAGACTATAGACAGCTATAGACTAGACTATAGACTAGACTATAGACTAGACTATAGACTAGACTATAGACTAGACTATAGACTAGACTATAGACTAGACTATAGACTAGACTATAGACTAGACTATAGACTAGACTATAGACTAGACTATAGACTAGACTATAGACTAGACTATAGACTAGACTATAGACTAGACTATAGACTAGACTATAGACTAGACTATAGACTAGACTATAGACTAGACTATAGACTAGACTATAGACTAGACTATAGACTAGACTATACTAGACTATAGACTAGACTATAGACTAGACTATAGACTAGACTATAGACTAGACTATAGACTAGACTATAGACTAGACTATAGACTAGACTAAGACTATAGACTGACTATAGACTAGACTATAGACTAGACTATAGACTAGACTATAGACTAGACTATAGACTAGACTATAGACTAGACTATAGACTAGACTATAGACTAGACTATAGACTAGACTATAGACTAGACTATAGACTAGACTATAGACTAGACTATAGACTAGACTATAGACTAGACTATAGACTAGACTATAGACTAGACTATAGACTAGACTATAGACTAGACTATAGACTAGACTATAGACTAGACTATAGACTAGACTATAGACTAGACTATAGACTAGACTATAGACTAGACTATAGACTAGACTATAGACTAGACTATAGACTAGACTATAGACTAGACTATAGACTAGACTATAGACTAGACTATAGACTAGACTATAGACTAGACTATAGACTAGATATAGACTAACTATAGACTAGACTATAGACTAGACTATAGACTACTAGAACATCACTTTTGATACTATCGCTATGTCATTATGAATGTGCGGTCTGTATAAATCTAAAGCATATTCTGAACTTTGTCATCAAACCTGGTGGTTTTCTTCAGAAAGTGTATAATACTTAGTATAGACTCCTGTGACTTCAAGGGTATGGGTATCACAATAGATCAGAAATCATGGATCTAAGTGAATTGCACATAGTTTTGTGCAACCACATATTATGTTGCGAAGTATGGCGAAAATTGGACCATATTTTGTCCTAGCCCCCAAATAAGGTTTCTCTCAGAAAATTACTGTAACGTTCATAACAGGCTGTAAAAGTTGTTGTATAGCGCTGAAATTCAATAAAATCTAGTTTAATAAGAACCGAAATCACTTTTCCTCCCATATAAGAAATCTTACACTCTTTAATATTTTGCAGAGCCAGAGTCCACATACATATGTATGTGGTCGAATTTCAAAATTAACTTTAATTAAACTATATATGTGGTGATATTTGTTTTTCATTCTAATTCGCTTCCCATATAATGCAGTCAAGAAATCAAATACTCATGTTTGAAATATTGGTATGGAAGTGGTGGGATTAAAACAATTTAAACCGATTTTATACAGACAACAATCAAAATAAAGTTAAATAAAAATGCTTTAATTGATTACTTTTATAAAACTTAAATCTATTTGTTGTTACTTTATTCAATTTAAAAAAATATATATTTAATAACATATTCCTAAATATTATAATTATTAAAAGCTATTTATATATAGTATATACAATAAAAATTAACAAAAAAATATGGAAGTAATAGGTCAGGAACAATTAAATACGATTTTTATTTCATTTTTTTACAATTAAAGCCAAAAAATTCTTTTGTTTCGATTTAAAAAAAAAAAAAACACTATTAAATAAAAATAAAAAATATCGATCGTTTTAACTAAAAACTAGGAAAACAACTCGGGATCCATAAAGGATCTAAAACACAGAAACCACACACACACATACTAGTACGTCTTTAATCTCTCAAATATATATATCTGTAGGCTTCACTCATGAACTTTGTGCAGGCTGTTGTGAATGCAGAGGAGTGGTAATGGGCAAGACAACCGAGGCACCTATAGGTTCGGGTGTATATGGAGGCGGTGTCAACGGCCGTGAGCTAGACGATACATTGGGATCAGCTGATGTATAGGGTGGTACAGTCAATGTTGTATCGGTGGTATTAACACTCGAACTAGAGGCTCCCATCGAAAGAGCACTTGGCATGGCGGGTACAAAATTAACGGCGCCAGCTGCTGGTGCCGCTGTGGGTGTGCTCAAGTTTGTCATGCGCATAACCTCATCATATGAAGGCAAATCTTTGTCGTCCTTCTCCAATTGTGCTCGTATACGGGCTGCTTCAGGACTATTGGGTTCAATGAAGAATATGTCATTGAAGCGATTATCTCTAGCGGCCTCCTCAGCTGTGGCAAAGTTATTACCCTGGCGATCTGCAAGACAACAAAAAAAAAATAAATGTAAATAATTAGAAAATTTTGAAATAATGTTGTAAGTACCCAGAATTTCTTTATTAAATTTTATAGTCAAATAGGCATAATAACCCAGACAAGAGAACACTACAAATAAACCTAGACCGGCTAGAATATATGGCAATAAATACCACATTATGTTCTACTTTAAAGCGTCTTTGTTTCTTAAATGAATTGAGGAATATAAAGTTATTTTTACTTTTATGTTATTAACAGATAAGATTAAATTTTATTATTATTATTATAATTTTGTTAATTGTGTTTGCAAATATTTACAGACATATGGTTAAATTATAACTTCTTAGTTAAAGTGTAATCAATTGGTTTTAAATGTATATTACTTTATAGCAGTTATGGGCAATATTTCTAAAACCAATATAAATTTTGTATAAATTTTAATTATCACCTATTAGCATTTCTGCAAATTGGTTTTAAAACAACTTTTGATAAAAATTTTAAAAAAAGTTGCTTAGTACATGATTGCCCAGCACTGCTTATACAGTTGTTGTTATCCACATATTTCTATATAGGTATCAGACATGGAAAATGGTAATTTCGAAGTAGAATAAAAATACTAAAAATAGACTAGACTATAGAGACTAGACTATAGAGACTAGACTATAGACTAAACTATAGACTAGATTATAGATTAGACTATAGAATAGACTATAGACTAGACTATAGACTAGACTATAGACTAGACTATAGACTAGACTATAGACTAGACTATAGACTAGACTATAGACTAGACTATAGACTAGACTATAGACTAGACTATAGACTAGACTATAGACTAGACTATAGACTAGACTATAGACTAGACTATAGACTAGACTATAGACTAGACTATAGACTAGACTATAGACTAGACTATAGACTAGACTATAGACTAGACTATAGACTAGACTATAGACTAGACTATAGACTAGACTATAGACTAGACTATAGACTAGACTATAGACTAGACTATAGACTAGACTAGACTATAGACTAGACTATAGACTAGACTATAGACTAGACTATAGACTAGACTATAGACTAGACTATAGACTAGACTAGACTAGACTATAGACTAGACTATAGACTAGACTATAGACTAAAGTATAGACTAAACTATAGACTAAACTATAGACTAAAGTATAGACTAAACTATAGACTAAACTATAGACTAAACTATAGACTAGACTATAGACTAGACTATTGACTAGACTATAGACTATACTATATACTAGACTTTAGACTAGACGAGAAACTATAAACTAGACTATAGAACTATAGACTAGACTATAGACTAGACTATAGACTAGACTATAGACTAGACTATAGACTAGACCATAGACTAGACTATAGACTAGACTATAGACTAGACTATAGACTAGACTATAGACTAGACTATAGACTAGACTATAGACTAGACTATAGACTAGACTATAGATTAGACCATGGACTAGACTATAGACTAGACTATAGACTAGACTATAGAATAGACTATAGACTAGACTTTAGACTAGACTATAGACTATACTATAGACTAGACTATAGACTAGACTATAGACTAGACTAGAGACTAGACTATAGACTAGACTATAGTTTTGAAAAAATTACAATACATATTTTCCATGCCTGATAGGTACCATAAACATTATTAGATTATTATTAATAGAGAGGGTAACAAAGACAAGAGTTCCTAGCCTCACCTCCCAGACAGATAGGCTAGCACATTATGAATGTGTTGATCATATACACTAATCTCTCTCAATACTCTGTCCAAAAACTCAAAAATATTTGTAAATTATAATTTTTTTATTACCACTTTGTTGATTTGTTATTTCCCGCTTCTGACATTTATCAAAATAATAACGTAAACATGGCATCAGAAAAAATAAAAATACAAATGTTGAGAATATTAAAAATACGAACGATATCGCAAATGTTAAAAAAGTGTCCGACATTTTGTTCTTTTAAAATATTTTTTTATATTGAAAAAATACTCGTAGTTTCGTTAACGATTCTCTTTAGCAGTTATAATTTAAAACTGTTTGGGGAAATGTCTAAAAAGTCAATGCAAAGTAAAAGTTAATTTTGAATTGATAAGATTACGTAGAATTATGAATGGGGGAAATTCTAAAGGTTGGGGGGGGCTATCGCTTTTAAGGAAGTCAAATACTTGAGTTTTTGAACATAATTCTATTTAAAAAAATGAGGTTTATCATTTAAAATTTTTATAAATTAATAATCTTAGAAATCAATCTCAATAATGTTATAATTCGCACTAACATTTAATTGTAATTTTTTTATTCAAAAATCTCTCTACCTAGATTTAATAAATTTCCCTTTGCTTTAAATCAGTATTCCTCAGTCTTTACGAACTGAAGATCAGTCTTCTTTTAAAAACTCTTACTTAAGAAATTTCCCTTTACCTTAAACCAGACTTCTATAGATAAAATTGCAAACAGTTTTATTTGGAAAAATACTCATTCAGTTCGTCATAGAAAACACCACGATCTGTTTTCTATAAAAACTTTACAATCAGTTTCCTATAAAGAATACTTCCTTATAGAAAACTTTACGATCAGCTCTTTATAAAAAACTCTAACATCAGTTTTTATAGAAAAAATTACGATCTGTTTTCTATAGAAAATTTTCTTATAAAACAACACTCAGTTTTCTATACAAAACAATACTTTATTATGAGTTTTCTATTAAGAAAACTTTACGATCAATTTTCTGTAGAAATCTTTGGGGCTCTGCGATCAGTTTTCTATAGAAAACTCTACGATCAGTTTCTATAGAAAACTTTGCGATCAGTTGTCTATAGAAAACTTTGCGATCAGTTGTCTATAGAAAACTTTGCGATCAGTTGTCTATAGAAAACTTTACGATTAGGTGTCTATAGAAAACTTTGCCATCAGTTTTCTATAGAAAACTTTACGATTAGGTGTCTATAGAAAACTTTGCGATCAGTTCAACTATAGAAAACTTTGCGATCAGTTTTCTATAGAAAACTTTGCGATCAGTTGTCTATAGAAAACTTTACGATCAGGTGTCTATAGAAAACTTTGCGATCAGTTGTCTATAGAAAACTTTACGATCAGGTGTCTATAGAAAAATTAGCGATAAGTTTTCTATAGAAAACTTTGCGATCAGTTTTCTATAGAACACTTGGCGATCAGTCCATATTTGAAGATATAAAATTTTGCGATCAGTTGTCTATTAAAAACTTCAGTTGTCTATAGCAAATTTACGATCTGGTATCTATAGAAAACTATGCGATCAGTTTAACTATAGAAAACTTTAAGATCAGGTGTCTATAGAAAACTTGGCGATCAGTTGTCTATAGAAAACTTTGCGATCAGGTGTCGATAGAAAACTTTGCGATCAGTTGTCTATAGAAAACTTTGCGATCAGTTTTCTATAGAAGACTTAACGATACATAGATAACTCTATGATCTCTATCAAGTTTCTTTAGTTTTTCTTAGAAAACTCTGCGATCAATTTTCAACCGATCAGTTTTCTATAGAAAACTTCACGATCAGGTTTCTATACAGAACTTTATGATCACTTTCATATAGAAAACTTTACGATCAGTTTTCTATCGATTAGTTTTTATAGAAATATAGTTGCGATCAGTTTTTAAAGACAAAACTTTACATTAAATTTTGTATTGAGAATTTTATGATCGCTTTTTTATAGAAAACTTTTATTTAAAGATCAATTTAATAAAATTTTCATATTTTATATTTAAAGTAAATTTACTCCATTTTTCACATTATCTTGAGATATTCTCAATATCCAGGGGGAATTATCAGATTATTATGCTTTTGCTAAACTCTTTATAATTGATAACATCATTTTATGATTTTATGAATTCATTGCAGCATCATCTTCACAAAGTAGGTTTTGTTTAGAGATAACATATTTAGCATCTAATGGCACATAATCTCAACTGTTAAGACTTCCAGAAAGTTATTATCATTGTTATTAGGTTTTCGTACAGGTTATAGTTTATAGTTCTAGAGATTTCATTCCAAAGTCCTTTAGCACTCGATTTTAAAAGTATTTTTTAAGAAATCAATAATAGTTTCATAGATTTCAACTCTTATTTGTTTACGATCACTAAAACTTTTTTTCTTTGAAACATATAATTTTATACGTACATAAAATGGGTATTATTATTTGTAGTAAAATAAATATTATAATAATTAAAACCACATATCCGACTATAAAAACCACCAAAGACTCCATTAATTTAAAAAGAAAAATATATATTTTTTTTGGAAAAACTAAACTTTATTTTTTTACGCCGTTTTTATTTGCAGGCTTTTAAACAGCGAATAGAAGCGTTTTCATGGGGGGATGTTGATTTTATTCAACTTTTTCGCTATAAAAAATGTATAAAATTATATTAAAACTTAAAAATAACAATGAATTGTATGAAGAAAAAAAAAACAGAAAGAGTTTATATTTAAAGTAATAAAAATGTTTAAAATCACAGACGATAAGATTATATAAATCACAGCAAATTGCAAATAAAATATAAATAAAAACGCGCGTTTTTAATTTATTAATGCAAATAGGAGTAGAAAATATATATATATAAAATAAATAAAACTTAGATTTCTTTATATTATAATTATATTATTCGATCATATGATCTTTAGACTTATACGTTTCTTACCGGTTATATGACGTAGAAGTTTTAAAAGATTTCATTCATCTTAAATCGTTAACTTCAATACAAATAATTTAAAATATAAATCTGGTAGCTTTGTTTTTAATGTAAGTGCAGGGATGGTAAATTAGATACTATTTAAAATTGTTTATAAAAATTTTGTAAACAAAAGATTGAATAGTTTTCTATAGAAAACTATATTTCCACATGATAAATAAATAAATTTTATGAAAAGTTTTCTGTAGAAAACTGACCGTAAAGTTTTCGAAACAAATTTGATCGTAATCTT